TAAGTTAAAGTCGTGTTTGTGATTTATATGAATCACAATTACCTGAACCGGTGACAGTAGAGAAGGATTAAGGGGTTGATCACCTCAAAGAACAGGAGGAAGGAGATGATAAGAAAGATTGTGCTGTTAAATTTAACCTTTGCCAAATAGTGATTGGCTCATATGGCTTTAAAACCAGACTTGGCATAACGCACAGGGTAATGCCAAGTTGTGCTTTTCGTAGGCTATTGTGGCTTTCAACACTACTCAGGAGTATGTCATGTTTCCTCCTATTAAGCACACATTAATCATAGTACCAACTTTCGCACTTCAATAGTTCAATCTGTAGCTTGATTGTAAAAGGCATCAGGTCCGTCACAAACCTTATTTTTTGTAACCATTCGGTGTTGGAAGCTCATTGGTCCAATTAATCTTAGATTGTTCTAGGTAGGCCCACTATGGGGTAAAGCATTTCCGAGCAAGAAGCTCTGCATTCTTAAAGCTCGAATTCAAGGCTTCTTACCAAGAATTGAGGAATCTCAACGATCCTACTATACAAGAAGTGTGAACTTTTTGTTCCTAGCTTTTGTAACAGATACTCATTCCATTTCAAGTTAAATGCATTATTTTTCAAAAGAGTAGTAGTATTATTTTGGAATTTTTACCTCCTATAGCAAAGGTTGATACCTTATTTATTTTAAATAAATACCCTTTTAAAAAATTATATTCTATAGATACCTTTTGATTTTTATAGCCAAATATCTATTTATGGTTCCCTCCTGCTCTTAAGCCATAAAATACTCTTTGTATTATTTTTCTCTCTTATTCTTTCAGATTTTTCTCCACCCTCTCTCTCTCTCAATACGCCAGTATCTCTCCCTCAACCGCCATGGAAATCCATATCAAAACTGAAGACGATTTATGTACTCTAAATGAACGAAAACCAAAGAATTGCCATCCTCTCTTTTCATGATTGTTTGCAAGTCAGCCTCTTCTTCTTTGAGTTCTGCTTTGGCATAAATAATCGGGATCCTTTAGGGATCATGATTCAAACAACTAGAACGGAAAATAAACAAAGAAAAAGATAGCAGGGATATGTGGAATTTGAGGGAATTGATGAAGCAACACAAATTCAGAAGACCCGTTTTAGCCGTTTTGCTGCAGGTTGCTTGAATAGATCCATTAGGGTTTTAGGGTTTCTTGTTGTAATTCAATGTATCTCGTTGTATTCCATGTATTTCATTGTATTCATTGTCTTTTTTTTCATTGTATTTCAATGTATCCCGCTGTATTATATGTATTTCATTATATTCATTGTCTCGCTATATTCCATGAATGTATTCATATGGTTTTTTAATTAATATAATTTATGTATTCAAATGTATTATATAATTTTTCTGAAGATTGCTATGTTTTTGGGGTATTTTCTGTTGAGAATCTTTTTTATAATTGAAAATACAAAATTTGTGTGTTATAATTGAGTTTGTTGAGTTATATTAGGAGTCTATTATGTTAATTGATTCACTTTCCGTTTTGAAAACAGTGTAATCCCCTATTTCACACCATGAATACAGTCGAATACAGTTGAATACAATAATCTGTCCAGCTGTAATCCCATGTTTCACTCCATGAATACAGTCGAATACACTCGAATACAACAACTGATTAGCTAGACTTCCCTGATTCACGCCTATTTTTGCTACTGTATTCATGAATACTATAGCTTAAATACATCAAATACATCTTATAACCACACAAAAGGTATCTATTATCCGTAATATAGCAAATGGTATCTATAGATGGCTAATTACTACCAAAAGATAGTGCTTTATGAAAATTTCTCTATTATTTTTGCACATATTATACAAAAAGAGCAGGAGTGGTACAATTGAACCGAAATGATCAAAATACCACCAAAATTCAATCTCATGACATTATTGTTCGAAATAGCGTTGCCAAAATGGATAAAAGAATACAGTTATCCATCCATATTATCCATTAAAAAATGGGTTGGATAATGAATTTTTTAAAAACGGGTCAATATGTATAAGAAGAGTTTTTGGCTAATATTGTTCCTTATCTTTGAAGGTAGGTCTATTTTGGTCCCTTAAATATAACCCTGAGCATATTTAGTCCCTTAAGTTAAGTATGCTAAAGTGGAGCACCTTTAGTCTAACTGATACAATATGTTCAAAAACTAACAGTGTTACCCAACTCTAATTCATGAAGCAAATCTTCTGCTCTAAAGGAAAACGCCTTTTATTGGATAATGCAAATTCTCACTTTAATTCCTCATTTTTAGATAATGTCTTCTAAAATTTTGCCTTGAAAATATCCCCTTCCGTGCCCGTTTTCAATGAAAAATTACATTGTATAGCCGCTGTGAAAATAATAGCCGAAAAAAGTATAAAATTTTTATATTTATATATATATATATATATANTATATATATATATATATATATATATATATATATTATATACAAATTTTATATACTTTTTCGGCTACTAGATGCAAATAGTTTCTGGCACGGGCTAAAAGTAATAATACAACCTGATTATTCGTCTGCTTAAATAATATGCCTAGAAGTAATCCTGGTAGCTCTGTTTTTTTTTAAATTTTAAATTTTCTTTTTGAAAAAATCAACGAAAACTTTTAGATGTATATATACACAAAAAACATACAAATTTTATATATTTTTCGGCTATTATTTTTACAACGGCTATACACTATCATTTCTCATTGAAAACAGGCACAAAGGGATATTTTTAAGGTCAAAATTATAGAAGACATTATCCAAAAATGAGGAATTAAAGTGATAATTTGCGTTATGCAATAAAAGACGTTTTCCTTTGGAGCAGAAGATTTGCTTCATGAATCAGAGTTGGGTAATACTATTAGTTTTTGAACATATTGTGTCAGTTAGACTAAATGTACTCCACTTTAGCATACTTAAGGGACTAATTATGCTCAGGGTTATATTTGAGGGACCAAAATAGACTTACCCTCAAAGATAAGGGACAATATTAGTTATCCACTTAGAAAATGGATAAGTAAAGGATTTAACTTTTTACATTTGTAAAGCTTCAAATTGGAGGTTTCTTAAGTTTGGGAAACTAGAAATTCTTCCAAAAGTGATCATATTCAAGAAGTCATGGACCATATTATCCACCGGTTAACCCGTTTTTTATCCGTATTAAATATGGGTTGAGTCGGATAATTTATTCGTTGTCGCATTTTTCGTTTTCGACCCGTCCCATATCCGACCCGACCTGCCCGTTTGGCATCCCTAGTTCGAAGTGTGATTACTTTAGCTCGTCCCCTCTACAAAAGTCAAATATCATTGAGGAAAGTCATGATAGCCATATTTTATTTCCAAGTATTTATCAGCTCTTTGGTCAGGCTAATGTTTCTTCTTTGCTTTTTTCTGTCTTTTTTGGTGGAGACATTAAATTTGTTAAATAGAAGAAATAACTATCAAAGAGTACAAGAAGAAATGATTTCGAAAATGAAAAAAATTTAAATTAAATTGCTTCGTAGCTGGTATTCTCTAGTCTCTCCGTATTAAGAAAACTAGAACAACTTTAGCACTAATGATATAAGAGGGCCACACGTCTTCTATTATTATAATGAGTCAGAATTCGTTATTATTTTGATTGGTGAGTGCAATTGAAAGCTATAGATTATATTAAAAAGAAACTGCAGTTTTAATATTAATTTTCTAAAGTTCTACGGACACTTTTTTATTCAACCCCTGATGTGGAGAAAGCTATTCTAAATGCACATAGTTTAGGGTAGGTTCATTATGTTAAGGATGAGATACTCATTTTGTTTAGGTGGGAAAATAATGTTGCAATATGATAACTATTTGCATTACCAAACAAGGAAATACAAAGTAATTAATCAATTACAATTTTGGCCTATCTTGTGAGATGAGGTGGAAAAGGGGCCCTTACTGCCCAATATGTTTGCCAAATGCAATAATTAAGTTGTTTTTTTTGTGTCAAAAGCTTAAAAAAGACATCGTCTTATTTTTTGTGCTCAAAACATGATTATTCTATGCAATTCTTCCATCCCCCACACTGTGCCCAATCAATTCATATCTAATTTGTAATTTGATGCTAATAAGCAATTTTTAAAGGAAACTCGGGAATGCATTAAGAATATGGAGTTGTTGGGATGAGGAAAAGTGAGAAAAATGACAGCCCGGTGCACTAAGCTTCCGCTGTTCACGGGGTTGAGGAAAGGCCGGACCACAAGGGTCTATCGTACGCAGCCTTACACTGCATTTCTACAAGAAGCTGTTTCCACAGCTCGAACCCGTGACCTCTTGGTCACATGACATCAACTTTACCAGCTACGCCAAAACTCCCTTCAAACTAGATAAAAAGGAGAGTTTATTAAAACCATAAAGGGAGAAGGTTTGGCTTCATTTGAAGGTGTTTAATAACAAAAACGAAAAGAGGTTATCTTAAAAGAAGAAATGGTGTTATAACTAGATAGTGATGATCCTTTTGTTTCAAATGTAATGACGAAGTTTATTACGTAACACTTAACTAAATAATTAATCTTAAGAATCTGAAGAATCAACAAATCAAACTAAAAATGTACATCACTTATTAATCATGGTTAAGTGTTAAAAAGTATATCTAAAAAAACAAAATTTTATATCTATTGACTTAATATATACACTTTGTACGAGTAAATTTTGATCAGTTTATGTAAATAGTTATTCAAACCGGGTGTTTACTCCTGGCTCCATTTCTCAATTATGTGCAACTCCTGTGGCGCATAGGTGGTACGTTTCATTGGTTTCAGTAAAGTAAGTATTTGTCAAACACAAATTAAATTTTGAACTCACAATTTCAAATGTATAAGCAACAAGTTTAAAAGTGGAATCCGTCAAGTTTAAATTTTAAATTCGCCTTTAACAATAGCCTTTGTATTGCGCTATTTACCGGTGAGTGGTATTATTGGACTGATCTTGTATCAAGAACAATGAAGCAATATCAGCATTGTGATCACAAGAAGTCATAATAATTAAAATTACGACTAGAACTAAACTGTACAATTAATTCACAAAACAAAGAAACCTAGTAGTAGTAATATTCTTGCTTACCTCTCTTCCTCTCCTTCACAATACAATGATGGAATTTTTGGGTTACAGAAATGATGATAAAACTTGGCCAAAAAATTATGACCTATTATTAGTAGAAGAAGGTGAGATTCCAGTGAAAGAAACTCTACCAAAACCCAAATGACCAAATTCATATAACTCAAACCAAACCTCTTCTGCATCAATAAATCTCCCACTAAATTTATCTTTTAACTCTTCTTCTTCTCCAATTACTATTCCCCATTTTGTCCTTTCTTTTTCTGCTTCTTCTTCTTCTTCTTCATCTTCAAATATTTTTATTCTTCTTGATATTCCATCAATACTGTCCAGTTCATACGTCACACAGTCACGGTAACTGTAACTCTTCTCCATTTCCTTCTTCTTTTTCTTCTTCTTTTTCTCCAACTTTTTACTGCTTTTCTTTTTCCCTTTAACCAAGATTTTTTTACCCATTATCCATGGAATCTTGAAAAATGCCAGACCTAAAATACTTATTACTGCACAAGGACAGCAACATAATGCCACGCAATCTGCCACCACTCCAACTGTACATGACTTACAGGATTTTCCGGTGCACTCGATTTGGTCGCCGGCGTCGTCGTCGTCGTCGTCAACGGCCACCACATGCCGGCGGTTCTTCACGGCGCTGATCATTGCGCCACCTTTAGGATTACGTGCAACTACTGGAGATGGGTATACTTCCATATCAACTTCTTAATAATATCTCTTTATTGATGATAATAACCTGTGAAACCAGCCGTGTAAATAATGAACATTAATGACTTAATATATATGTATATATATACACAAACAGTATATAAAAATGTAGAGAAAATGAGTGGTACGGCAATGGAGGACAGATCAGCAAATGGGATTTGGTATGGTGAGACTTTGGAAGCGTCTTTGACTCTTAAATGGTATGGTTCCAAAAGTACAATAAATAGTGATCCCTCGTTTCCGTCTATATAGAACTATTTTTAATTTGGAATGTACCAAATATTCACAATTGACCACTTACTAATTTTATACAATTATTTTATCAACATTTTAATTTATTATAGTATTGACACTTAAAAGTTTGAAGTGACGTAATATGTTTTCTTTTCAATCATTACTTTGCTCATCTCTTCATCTCATTAATATCTTTAAAAATTAAGTCAAATCAACATTTTAATTAAACTTTATATCCAATTAAAAACTAGTACTCCCTCCGTTTCAGTTTAGATGAAATAGTTTGACTCGGCATGAAGTTTAGCCAAAAAAAATATACTTTTGAAACTTGTGGTCTTAAAAGCTTTGTAGGATCATGATAATTTGTGTGGTTATAAAAGTTTCTCATTAAGGGTAAAATAAGTAAAATGAAGAGTTTAAAGTTGAATTATTTCCAATTATAAAAATGTGTCATTCTTTTCTGAACGAACTAATAAAAAAAGTGTGTCATCTAAACGGAAGAGTATATCAAAATATATAACTATGGGCATATTTAAGTACATTGGAGTACTATACTATTTTTATGCAAACTTTCAAAAATTTCAAAATTTTAAATTTCCAAAGGGTAGAGAGATGTATTTAGAACGGACAAGGTAGAAAAATTTGGCCAAAAAAGAAATACGGGGGAAAACTACTGCTCCCTTTTGACGGCCTGAGACCTAAGTAGAGAGGGCTTATTTGCTATGGAATTTGGTAAAAAAATTCATCGCACAGTTACAAATCCAACTACTTTGGGCAATCTGTCTTCCTCACGTCCTAATTAGTTGAAATATGATCTTGGTTGTTGACAACAATAACTATTGTATTTTTTATACTATTAGTAGATTTAACTGTTGCAACAAATAACATATGCCTTTTATTTTATGTTACTAATTCCAAATTTTATGGACGTCACATATAGTTATCATTTAGACGATCTAACAGTAAAAACTTCTCTTAGATTGTCAGTCATGTATAGAAGTATGATTAGTCTTATACTCTAAGGGGTCTAAGAGGTCGTTTAGTTTGAAGACAAGTTATGTTAGGACTAGCTATGCCGCGATTAGTTATACTGGATGCTAGGAATAGTTATGCTGAAATTAGTTATCCTGGTATTATTTCTTATTGACTGTTTGGTATACTGTATTAATTCTGGGATTGTCAATTTTACTACTTTATCCTGGAATTATTATTTCACCTTCTGATAGGTCTAAATTATCCTGATACTTTTTTTAATACTAAAATAACTTATATCAAGATTAGTAACCAAACAAGGAATATAAGGCGGTACTACATTTTTATTTTGGGATTATTTTTGTTTATACATCATACCGAACAACCCCTGTGTATAGAAGTTAAACTCATACTTATTCCATCTTCATCCCTATTTTTTCTTCCCCTTTCTCCATCTACATGTTCTCTCTCACTCTCTTTTCTAGTTTCAAGAGTGAAAAGAGGACTTAAAAAAAGGTGCTATGAAATAATTCAAGGAATTTGGTATTTTTATTTATTTTGGGGGGTGGGGGGGTGGGGGGGTGACTGTTCTTGGTGGGGATAAAATAAAGTTGGCACAAGAATGAAAGCAGAGAGCTAAGAAAGGGAATGTAAGAGATGTGACAATAGACAGAGACCCCTCGAGCAGAATCCAAGTTTGTGAAACATCTTCCCTTCCTATGGAATTGTCGTAAATTCCATGCCTAATTTCATGTCTTGGATCCAACATAATTTTTTCTCCTTTGCCAAACTTATGATCTGCCCCCATTGTGTTGTCAGTGGACAATACCATACTATTAGTACTATCACTACCCCATCGCATCCCTCAGTTGTCAAAAGTTATTTTCTTCCTCTAATATCAACTTGTACGTATTTTAATTATTTTATCGAGTATCTATTACTTTCCGCTAATATTAATGTCTAATTATTATATCCATCAAAATTTGGGAAGATTATTGAAAGAAATTATCTACTATCACTTGTTACAACTTTATGTGACATTTTTTGCTTTTCGAGATTCAAATTCCTTAATATAGACCATGCATTAGGACATAGAATTTTTTAGATTTTTGAAATAAAATTACATATTTCAAAACTAAGTAAAAAGTGTTATACTCAGTCACAATAATTAATAATTTATAATATTTAAAATGCATATGAAAAAGTTACGGGCAAAAATAATTCGTTTGACTCTCGAAATTCAAACGCCTTGTTGGCATAAGTAAGTTTTGATGATTGACGAAAGAAAGTCATGCATGAACCAGGTCTATACACAGTGCACTTGCAGATTCAAGCACAAGGCATGCACGTGAAGGAGATAAGCATAGGTGGTTAAATCTGATATCTCCTGTACAAAAAAGTTGCATAATTGATAATGAGTAGGCCTTACTCGAAGAGAACTCTATCCTAGATAAGGGAGGAGTTAGAAGTTGAAGATAACTAGAGGAAGAGTATAACATTAGAACTCTTGTTATTTCTTATTCTACTAACTCTACATATATCGGTTGTGTTCTCTTTTACAGGGGACACACAAATGCTGAAGTTAAGTAAGAATTGAGAGAAAAATAGCAAGGCATTTTGCAAGCGATTCCTGTGTGATTCAAGTGTGCGAATCAGAAGCTACATAAATCAGATAGTAATCAGTTTCAAATGTCTGTCTTTTAGTCTAGTTTCATTGTAGTAGTGCTTTTTTTAGTTGTATCTTTCAGCTTTCCCTAGAAGTATTTGTACTAGGTACTCTGAGTGTGTTGTTCAAGTTAGAGTTAATTTGAAATTGTCGCAACGGCCTCAGACTGGTTACCACAAAGGGTTAGAGGTAATACTAAGATTTACAAGAGTTTTGTAAATGCTGTTTTTGGCTTAGTAAGTTAGTGAAGTGTTGGAAAATCCTACTGAGTAATAGGTCGTAGTTGTTTTTACATTTTGAGCCACGTGTTTTTCACGTAAAAATACTTGTGTTCTTTACTTTCTGCATTTATTAATTCGCAACCGTAGTGTAAGGAACACGTAGAAGAACCAGGTCCTTCTATAATCTGTGCATGCAAAAAATTAGACACCGCACAAATCATCCCTCTCATATAGTATAAATATAAAACAACACCCCTTCACGTAGAATGGGACGATGAGTAACATTTATGTTATTTTTTGTCCACATATTACTTTCTAGTCAATACTCATACAATTACCGACTAATTTTATCCATCAAAATTTTTGCAATTAAATTCAAATAAATCATCTAGCGTTTTAGTTACTTTCATCCATTAACTCCTGTATACTATTGTCCTTATTTTGATTGTACATGGATCAAGTAGGGCAGGGAACATTTTACTACTAATATCAATTTTACAACTCCATGTGCTTACCACAGCAACTTTAGATCGAGGAGAAGCATCCTTTTTTTCAAAAAAAAAAATATCTTTCTTTTTTTCTATATGGAGCGTAGGTTAGCCATTGAGTAAATATTCATCTTTAATTCAAAATAAGTAATCAAGTTTGTCTATTTTTTATAGTGGGTGCCTTAACTAGCGAGAGTAATTAGGTCAACCTCAACTAATGACTGTAAAATAGTATGATCACGAGGTGAGATAAGTCATAGACATAAATGAAACACAAATATTCTACTTCCAATGTTGAGTGTGGAGATTCCACATGTGATGTTTCCCTATTTGTTTTTTTTAATCCTTCATAAATTTTTTATTACATCTAATATCTTAGTTTCCGTTTGATTTTGGCCTCAGTTTCTTCAACAAAAATTAAAAACATTGTTTGTTTATGAAATATGATTATGTTTTGTAAAAAAAAAAAAAAAAAAAAGAAATTCAAGTTCCCAAAAATTGGTTTGGGGCATTTTTTGTATGAAAATTTTCTTTCACTCACAAAATTTTAACTTTTCTTCAAATAAAATGCATGTTCAAACACAACTTTAACTTCTAAAAGTTATTTTTCAACACAATTTCAAAAATTCTTTTTTTAAATTTCAATTAAATCTATGTCCAATCACTTGTTTAGATTCTCCTATTCTAGTCTAGAGCTATATTGTTGATACTCTCCATCTTTGAACAGGCATAATGTTTGAAGAATTTGAACGAATTTATGCAGCAATATTTTGAAGGAACCAGGCAGCATAATTACATAGGTCTAAGGGATAGATAGCAATATTCATAATTTTGTAGTTTGAACTTGCTAATACCATTCTAAGTTTAATTTAATGAGACAGACGGGGGAAATAGAAGAGATTTCGCAAGTCTAATTAATTTATTTGACTGTCAGAAAGATATTAAACGAATATTGATGAAATCAAGACTATTAAAGTTCCCAGGAGTTGGATTACTTTTCACGTGAACTTGCATTATTGCGAAAAAGCTATGCTCAAACAAATATTATAAAGTATAAACAAACAAATTCAAGCGTTAACTTCTTTTCAGTGTTCTTTAAAAGCTATTGGACTAATAATAGAAATTATTGTCCAAAGAGGGAAAAGATTATAGAAGACTATTAACTTTTTTTTTTCAGGTGCGCGTCAAAAGAAGGAAAAAATAAAAAAATAAAAACACATAAAAAGGCTACAAATCAAGAAGATAATAAGTTTATGGATTGCACGATGGCTGTTAGCAAATAATAGTTGCAAAACTATATTTTCTAAAGCAAATATGTGTGGTCTTTTGTGGATATATATTAGCCAATTGAACGAGCAAGGAAAACAGCTATATATCAGGCCCTACGATCGCCAAAAATTTCCTTTCTTAAAATTTATTTATTATAAAAGTTTGTCTTATTTCTGATCAAATTTTACAGTTAAAATAGCACGGGCTAGCCAGTTTTCGGACTGATAATTAAAAAATAGCTAGATTTTGCAAAGTTAATGAAAAATAGCCATTATTTTGCTGAAACACGAAAAGTTCCAACATAATATGTTGAATTATGGAGCTCATGCATATAAACTTCCGGAATATTATGTTGGAACTCCAGCACACGGGAAGTTCCAGCATAATATGCAGGATTGTGAAGCCCCTGCATATAAACTTCCAGCATATTATGTTGGAACTCCAGCATATTATGAAATTCCAGAAC